GGTGCGGGGGCGCCAGCCTCTGCCATCTCTGCCCCCGCAGAGATGGGGGGAGCCCCCTCCTCCACGGAGGAGCCCCCAGAGCTCCAATCCTCCCACCACTCAGCCGGACTGGGGTCCCCATCGATCAGGATCAACAGGTTCATGACCACTGCCCTAAGCGGACACTGTCCTATCTGCCTTACATAGCATTAGCCAGCATACCACATGCTGGCTACAGTCTGTGCTGTGGGAGAGAAGAGGATCTCTGCTTAAGCAGTGACTGATGAGAGGGAGGGGAAGGGGGACACAAGGAAGCCAACAGACCCTGCTGTGCCTGCAGGTCTACCGGAGCTCCAGCCAGGTAGCAGAGGGGAGGGGCCAGCCCTGCTGTGGAGCAGAGAGCCCCACCCAGTCCCAAGAGGATGTTGGGATGCTGGGGGTGTCTGGTTTAGCTTAAACCAGCAAAGGGTCTGGGATAGACATTGCATAAACCAGTTTGTCCCAAATCAGTTAAGTCAGACTACATTCAACCAGGTTTATCTCAAACCGGTTTCAGCCATTTTCAAACTGGTTTATGTACATTGAACATATGTTCTGTTACGGGTTTAAACCAGTTTCTGATCACTTAAACCAGTGTATGTGTAATGTATGTCCCTAGCCTTGGTGAAGCCTCTAGAAAGGTCTTGATGAGGTATGGAAAGCCTACTTTAGCTACAGCACACCATAATACTTAATTCAAAAGCTTATGATAGAGTAAAGGGAGCAAATATATTTTTGTGGAAATAAAATGAGACATTTAGGTGGGCAGAGTTACCCAGACTAGTAAGTACTCACATTTCTATAGGTTGCAGTGGGGGGGATGTGAAGTGCCATGAAGTTTTTAATGACTACAAGTGATGCAAACCTCAGATCTGAATCAGCCAAAGAAGAATGCCTCAAGTAGCAGTGCACACTCTAACATTATACTGCATTGATAATACAACGCTGGCTCAGGAGTAGACTTGGTCAGGAATTTTCCAGCTAAATAGTTTTCTATTGGAACATGCTAACTCATCAAACTGGAATATTCTACAAAAACATATCTATGTGATGAATTTCTGATAATGCACAAGCAAGTTTATATCAGAAATATGCCTGGCAGTCTGGAAAAGAACTCAGAGTTTGCAGGGTCCATAGCAGCAGCACCCCAATGGAGGCTGCAGGCTGGTTAAGGATCCCAAGCCTTCCAAGGAGCTAGTACTCTGAAGCTGCCCTGCCATGCAGACTGTGATTTCAACCAACTGTACTCAGGTCAAAGCTGATTTACCCACCCACTCACCATGTCGGGTATTCCCTGAAGGACTCTCATCCTGGCCCTTTTTGGGGCGAGATGCTTGCAGCTCCTAATTGGCCATGTACAACAGTAAGAGGAATTAATTTTCTTCTACCCCACTTACTCCTCTGCTCAAATTGTGAAACCAAGAGGATAGAGAAAGAGAGAGTGAGTTGAGCACTTGGCACACCTGCACACACATTCAGCTGGCTGGATCTCACAATAGAGAGCCAACTGCTATACAAAAGGGGATGGATAGGTTACTTACTTCCCAGAACAAGCCTAGAGCAGGGTTGAGTTCTGCCTCTGAGTCATAATTTGTTTTCTCTCCTGTTCCTTGGACAGAACAGCAACACACATGGGCGGATCTAGAATTTTGAAAAGGGAGTGCAGATGGTGACATATATCATTATATATAATACAACACATTTTTTCTCCAGTTAAAAATAAACTAGAAGATTTACAAATGCTCTAAGGCTGTGTTATTCAGTTTAACATTGAAGCAAAAACAAATATAGTTTCGCTGGAATTAATTTAAAGGAGCTTCATTACCAAAGCAGCTAGCTGACAACAGAATTGCAGGACAAAGGATAGCTTGACTGGTGAAACATCAAAACCATTAAAAATAAGACAGAGTCTAAAAAGGTCAGTTGTGGGGCAGTGAGTTTAAGTTAACATACTGTGACAAAGCACAATTTCAAATCATCTAAAGTGTCTTTCATCTCAGAAATTCCATGCTTATCATTTGTATGGGATTCTTTTAGTTCTTATGTGCCCCTGAAACTATTTTTGCTATGCGCAAACATAACTGTTACACATTTCTGTCACTATAATAATCAAGTGGTGAAGGGGTGACCTGTTTCTGAGTCTAGATGAAACTGAATTGCAAAGCAATGGTAGTCCCTGGGAATAATATTGATTTTAATTCTACTTTGTATCATATCATGAGCGCAAATAATTTTATAAATATAAATACTAAGAACAAATATGACATCAAGTAAAACTAAAGTTATAATATAATATTGTTTAATCCAAGTGAATGCTACCACAGGCAAAAATACAACAAAAACCCCCTCAAGAAAACAGAGCTTATAAGACATCACATCTATTTTATTATATGTGAACTCGAGGAGGCTTTTGAACCCATAACCCATCAGCTACCTGTCATTAACAGAATTCTAAACCACCATAATTTGCAGCCGGCTGGCTCTAAATGTTTGGCTGTGTTTATTTTGAGTGACTAATTTTAAAGGATTTTTCTTTTTGTTTCGCTGTTTGAGACAAACTCTGATATCAGGGTGTATTGAATGTTATTTTCAAACAGGGAACATGAAATATGGTATGGCATGTAGTCTAGCCAACAGAGCTGCCTGGGGCCTCAGTAATGAGGCCTAGATTTATGACTTCAGCATTCTCTAATTCAGACCACATTCAATAAGAGAAATGAATGTTTTTAAAGCTTATTCATTTATTAAGTTTATATTTCTCCCTTCCCCCAAAAAAGGCGTATAAAAGCTGGTAAAATAGGAAATGTTATACATGTATATAACGCCTGTACGAAGCAGCTAGTATTCGCTTCGGATTCAGCCAATTCAGGGGACAGTGATTCAATCTGGTGATGCAAATCACTGTCTCAAATCAATTCAGCCGAATTTGATTTGGAGATTTGGCTGCTGCCGAATCAGCTGAATCTCCAAATCACACAGGCCACATCCTCTACCTGCCTCCCAGGCCCACCAGTCCCTGCCCTGCTTGCCCCAGCACTTTGAAAAAAAAGGTGCTGCCAAGCAGCCTGGGTGCTGCCAGGCAGGGGGGGCCATCCCTGCTGCCCTCCACTGCCCCAAGTTGCATGAGGGGCTCTGTCATGAGCCCCCAGAAGCCCCAAGGCTGCTGCAGCAGCCAGTGAGTCTGGGGTATTTTGGTTGTTTGTTTGGTTTTTTTTAAAGGGAGCTGGGGCAGGTGGGGCAGCCATGGGGTGGCTAGGAGAGCAGGCAGGGGTTGGGGGGCTCATGGTAGAGCCTCCCATGCAGCGTGGGGCAGTGGGGGGCAGCAGGGATCGTGCCCCCCACCCCCTTGCCTGGCAGCACCTGGTGAGTGGAGGCTTTTTTTTAAACAACCAGGAGCTGGGGCTGGGTGGGGCAGCCATGAGGGGAACTGAGAGAGCTTGCGGGGGTTGAGGGGCGCTCAGAGGGGCTGGGGGAGTAGGCAGGGGATAGGGCCTGGCAGGGGTCCTGCCCCCTACTTACCAGCTCGGAGTCTGGGTCTAGCTCCCTGCTGCAGCCAGCAGGGACTGCCCAAATCGCAGAAGGTCTCCAAATTTTTTCCAAATCAATTCGGAGAGCTTCAAATCAATTTGAACTTTTTAATTGGTCCCCTGATTCGATTCAGATTTGGAGTTTCGGCCACTGAATCGGACTGAATCTCCTCCAAATTGAATCAGCACTCAAAGTTTCCCACAGCCCTAATGTGTGTGTGTGTGTATACACACACTTACATAACAAAAACACTCTTCAAATGATACCCCCAACGTAACCTTACTTGCAAAATGTCTGCCCAAAAAGGTCTTCCAAGGCTGGCTAGGGCTCTGGCAGGCCACAAGGGGAAAGGAGTTCCCAAGCAGAGAAGCTACTACAAGAATGACCACTCATGTTTTTGGCCCAGCAAACTTGGCACAGAGATGTTACTTGCAGGAGGTTACTCTTAGATGACCTTAGGGATCAAGGTTACATGAGAGAAGGTGGTCCCGTAAGTCTGTAGGGCCCAGATTCTTTAGGGCTCTCTAGATCAAAACCAGCACCTTGTATTGCACCTGGAAAGCATTTTGTCGCCAATACAGACTCTGGAGCACTGGAGACCACTCCCATTAAAAAGTGGACCACTATGTTCTGCACCAACTGCAGTTTCTGGGTGGTCATGAAGGGCAGCCCAACATAGCACACTTTAGACTAGTCTAGCCTCAAAGCAACAAAAGTATAGAAGAAGTTGTAAATTTTATATGCAATTGGGTCCCATAATTGAGACTCTAAAATGAATTACAGTTAACTGGGAAAATATGAAATTGTTCTGTGGCAAACTTTGGAAATAGAAAATGGAAAAAGTCTATGCGGTATATGCAAACTCTAAGAAAATATCAGTTGAACTTTTGGGTGAAGATTTGTTCAGAACTTATTTTATCCATGCAAGTTCACCTCTCCTCCTGCTGGCTATGTTATTGTCAAGGAGTGCTCAGAGGTTTTAAGATGGCAGCTTGAGTTAGCAGAGGCTTGTGTTATTTGATCACTTTTTGATGATCTTGTGACTACAGCAAAGAGACCAACAACTTCAGTATCTTTCCTAAAACTTAGCTGAGGTGAAAGAAAACCAATCTATAGCACATGTTTTCTTACCAATGTATTTCTTTCTGCACAGAAACATGAGTTCTGCTGGCCCAGAAGGAAGAAAAAAAATGAGAGAATGTGATGGTTTGATTGATTCTCTTGTTTATTACATCCAAGGAACTATTGCAGACTATCACCCTGATGACAAGGTGATTCTTCAGAAAGAAAGCACTTTGGGAGGGTGGGAAGAGAGGGAGGAGGGAGTGGAATCCCAAGATATTCTTAAACACAGATATTCAGGAATGACTGACAAAAAAAACATAAACTTATATTTGGCAAAGTCTTCTCAAGGGCTGCAATAACTGGAATATTCAGTACCATGAATGTCAGGGAAGATAACTTTTATACCAGCAGCTCTCACTACATTCAGTACTGAGACATATTACAATCATTCTATTCCCATGCCTTTAAAAAAAAAAAGGAACTTGTATTAAGACCACTTGTTCTAGTATCCACCCTTTACAGTTGACCTTAGTAGCCCACAAAATCAGTGGGCCAGTGAGACATCAAAACAAAAAGGATGCTTGTATCATATGAGCACTTTACAGTAACAACTGAAGGGGCCTAATTAACACAGCTCATTTTTAAGGTGGGCTAGGTGATGTCAACAGTTGTTAGTTATTCCACCACTAGATAGCAGATCTATATAGACCCTACACCAAAGGGTGCAGAGAGTGAGCAAGGACTTCCATTTTCTCGGTAAAGAGATCATATGTCCCCTCTACATTGTAACTTTTCCCATCTCTCCCACACATTTTTGGTAAGCAGTCGACCTAAACTGCACATCCCCTCTTAAAGACTCTGGTATCTTCATTCTCTTTCTGGGATTAATGGCAATACCATATAGAACTGCCATCAACCTTATCTTACCTGTTGTCTACTCCTCCCTCCAATTCCAAACTGATTAGTAGGTGTAGCCTTCCATGCAACTTCTGATCACTTGGTCCTTTTCAATTAAACCCTAGCTTCCCTGACATCTGAACTAAGCCCATTAGATGTAGTTTAATGGCATAAATGAGGGGTATTTTGCAGCCATGTTAAGAGAAGATGTAAAAAAGGGTGTGTGTATATGTATGTTAACAGCCATCAACTGCTGACAGCATTTCATCAGTCTGATGCAAATAAGGTTTAGCCACAACCTTTCCTCAATACTATTCACACGTTGCGGTGTAATCTCATTCCCTGTGGGCGTGTCTACACATACCTCTTTTAAACAGGATTACCCTAAAATCACCATTTTTTAAGGTGCATTAAGGGCATATGTCCACACATGCACGCCCTTAATATGCCATAAAAATGGCAATTTTAAACTAATCCCACCTAAATTTGGCACTCGTATAAAGCAAGTGTCAAATTTAGGTGTAATTAGTTAAATCGCATTAGCTCATGTGTAGCGGCTTAATGCACATTAACACATCTGTATGTGGGCTAATGCGATTTAGCTAATCACATCTAAAAGTTAATGTGCCTTAATGTGCATTAGCTCATTTGTGTATAGACATGTGCCTAAATCGCCTTAATGCTCCTTAAACAAAGGTGCATTAAGTTTAAGCACACATAAATGCACATGTAGACGCTTCCTGTGTGAAGCAGGAGTAGCACAGCACTTCTCTCAGCAGGGAAAGCCAGCAGGAAAAGCCTATGGCTGCTGCAAAGCTGCTCTCCAGTGAGCATTAGTCCATCAGACAGAGGGGAGGAAGAGATTGAGCCAGTTTCCCTTCAATCTAGGGTTGTCACCCAGCATCCAATGCTACCACCAAGACATACAGTCAGTGGCATTTGATAGCGCTCATACCATCTCCAAGATGAGCACCTCTGAGTTTCTGAGATACCACAGGGCTTGACAGGCTAAAAAAAAATCTCTCACCAGCCAGATATGAGGTGTGGCCCATGATCTAATTTTTTCTTAGGCCACCATGTCTGGGCATATAAGATTCTAAGTCAGATGCTTGTCCCATGTCCATATTTGTCTCCTGCATATGTACCTAAAACCTTAATGACATTTACTGCTTGATTATAACAGGCCACAGAGAATGGTGTGTGCATTCTACACAACCTTTCCTACCAGCTGGAGTCAGAGCTTCCCAGCAGTTACTCTCAGCACACCTACATGAAAAGAAGAAATATCCCCATTTATGACAAAAAATTTGGTTGCTTTGGAATACACAGCAGAAAAGTGAAAGAGGTGAAGTATGGATTAGTTTTACTTTGGACTGCCATTCGATATTTCTAGTGGCTGAACAATATTCCCATGGCAGGTGTGACAGACCTGGGGTTCTTGTTTGTTAATAACCTGACTGGTAGTGTGACCCTGCCAAACGTATTTCAAAATAAATATTATTTGGCAATATATATATGTTATTTGTGAACCACTTATGCTAGTATTGTAATGTCTGATATCCTATTGATGAAAGTCTTTAGTCTACAAGGAACCCTTTTTTTAAGAATTACTTCATTCAGTTATTAATTTTTTTAAAGATATGCAAGCCATGGTTTTGTTGCTGTTAGGATACTGCTAGTCTATTTTTCAAGAGCATGGAGCACATTCCTGAAAAGATGGCAGGATCGTATTGCATCTGTACATGATGCTTTGGATACTACTGGCCAGATCCTTGGTTTTGGTGTCTGGCAAAATTCACAAGAGAGCACTACAAAGGTGGCTTATCTCAGGGCTGCTTTTTGTTGTTGCTGGAGGCACTTTGAACCATGCCCCAGTTTCTTCAGCCCTAACCCTGATCCCAGTAACTAAAATATGGGCAAGATTAAGTTTCTTTATGTCCAAATGGAATCTTCCCTTTAGTCCCTTACATTGGCTACAAGCCCACTTTGTGCAGCTAAAGACAGCCTTATATTATTAAATAACCAAATTTTGTAAAACATGGATTGGGTTCACAAAGTGTGCCAGGAGGCAGTGTAGCTAATTTTCAGAGTACCAGCTCCCAGGCATGTTGTTACAGTCTGATAAATGTGCAAATCCATTGATTTCTGCAGAGTTAGTATTGATTTACGAGTGGATGCAAAATCAGTCCTGCTGGAGTATTGATTTTTGCTTCGTACAATTGTGAGACTGTATAAATAATGCATATTATTGACATAGAATAAGGTGCCCCGCTCCAAGATCCTTCTGGTACTATCTGGTTCACTGAAAACATTCCAAACAAGTGTGAAGCCGCAATGATATAAAAAATATCATTGATTCGCATGGGCTGCGATGTAAATTTCTTGTACTTTATGATGCTCTGATATTCTGACTTCTTGCGTATCTTTAGTAAAGATGATTTCAAAGCCAGAAAAAATATACAAAAGTAAGTTACAAGTTGTTGTTTGTCTTCCACTGATTTTGAGGCAGGCAACAAAAATCATAAATGCATTTTTATTTATGCTTCACAGTTCATTTGCAAGTAGGGATGGCTGGAAATTCTCTGTTGAAACATTTTTCCATTGAAGAGTGTTGATCTATTAACAACAAAATGTTTTGCAGAGGCAGTTGTTTGATTTTGGCAAAGTTGCAAGAGGGAGCTTTCTTCTCAAACCTGCCTGCTGTCCCAATCTCTTGGCTCTTTGTGGGCCACAGGCTTCCAGGCTTCCAGGCTCCGGCTCTTTAGGTTGGAGATCTCATAGTATTCATCCAGCCCTGTTTAATTCATAATTCATCCTATTATTACCAATAATAACATTAAAATAATAGTTAGACAATAAAATCAACCTGGGTTCATGTCTAGAAGGTCAAGACTGTCACACCTACAAATATATTACTCTTTTTTGGGGGCGGGGAGAAGGGGGTCTTTGTTTTCTTCTGATTCTTTCAGTGTGATTATTAGAAATAGCTGTGCACACAAGGCCTGTGCTGTATATATTTGCTGTACCACAATACATGCGTCCAGCTACATCAATTTGACCCAGATAACTGGTGATAATAACAATGATGAAAATGCAGAGGTGATCCTTTTTCCTGGAAAAGAATTATCAGCTTTTTTTTTTTTATCCATTTGGGATTTCTTTTAAGTTCTTCCACCACTAAAATAGAAAATGGCAATAAGGAGATCCCAGTTTACCTTGCTATATTGTACACAGTTCTCATGAATAGATCTGTGTCTAGTCAGCTATGTTGAGTAGCCTATTCCCACTGACTGCTTTATAAAAAGTTGCGGTAATGGCAGGTTTAGATTGCGGTGCATTTGAGGTTACCACTTCTAAAGGTCTAATCTGTTTAACTGTACAGAAGCAACAGGACACCCCGCTCCCTGAGGAAAAGAGCAATCCCAGAGGTGTAGAATCACTTTGGCACTCCACATTGATTAGGATATATCTCTCCTTAATAGCCAAAAGTACAAGAAACTACACCCAGGAAGCATCACTGGGAGCTCTCCAGAATCTCACCGCTGGTACTGGACCGGTAAGTTGTGTGTTTTCTTTTTTCCTTCAATTTAGGAGCATGGTGATTAGGGCTGCAGTGTGCTCTGCTTACAGCTCAGAGCTCTGACTCCCCGGGGGAAGTTGCAAATTCAAAGAAAAGATAGATAAAAAAGACACTTAAGAATATTGAGGCAGGGGAAGCCAGGCTCACCATTGTGGCTACTTTTTGTTTGACAGATAAAGAGCCTCTTGCCTCTCTGTGTAAGTGTTTCCTTTTGTGACTAATCACAGGAGACAGACAGGAATGGAGCAGTGTGTATAATAAATATGTAAAGATGTTTGTGTTCCTGTAAAGGTGTGATTGGTTTTGTATGAAATCCCTCAGTCCCTCCCAGAATAGAAAACAACGTCTGGCACACTGACAGACGAGTTATTTTTAAAGTTGTTTCTCTTGTCATCAGCCTTCTCTGGTGCATGCCAAAGACTGGCCAGGTGACCCAAAATCAAGTGCCACTGAAAAGGCTTTTTATCACCCATCTTTTAAATAGCAGATTGCATGTAGCTCAGAATCTGGGCTAATAAGTTACACACAACCTCCAGAAACCTGAAATTGCACTACCTCAGTCGTACATATACATGAGACAACACATTTTCTGCAGTTCTGTGAGTTAATTACTCAGTAAAGTTGTATGCTGTTTGACAGATGCCTTTTGCAGTATCCCAGACCATTGTCCGGAAGGTAAACGGCCTTCCAAGTATTCGAAATATGCTACATGTGACCTACCCAGTTGTAAAGAAGACAGCGGTCTCATTGCTTAGGAACTTATCTCGTAACTCTTCTTTGCAGAATGAGATAGGTAAGCAAAGGGCTGACATTTCCTCCCAGATTTTCTCTGTTTTTTTTATTTCCCGTTCTCCTTCTTTGACTTGTTAATAGTTGCCAGCCCTTGTTCAAATGCCTTTTCTATTGACTAAAATGTGAGTTTTGCCCAGGTTGAGAACCTCAGCTCAAATTCTGTCCGTTCCATAGAATCACATATTCCTCATCAAATACTCCCATCTGTATTATTTTCTGATAATATTAAGGGAAAACTTGAATCCATTTCATTTTTAAGAGGGAGGATTGTCCTATGCTTCAAATATGAATAAGGTAAGGTAAGAAGAAATCTGAGTTCCATAAAGACTAAGGCTTCCTATGTAATCTTTTTGCAAATCAAGTAGCCTTTTTCCAAGTCAGCGTTTTATCTGTAAAATAGAAAACAGTGCTGCATTAGCTCAGAAGTGTTGGGAAGCCTAAAACACACAAGTTTGTAAAGTGTTTTGGAATGTAAAATGCATGCACTATAGAAAGACAAATTGTTATTTTTGGAAGAGGTGTGTTTCTTAATTTATTTCACTAGTTTTTCTTCAAAAGCCATTTGTATCATGAAACATTTTTATATAACATAAGATTTGTATTACAAAGCGTATTCACTTCATGTGTTATTTTTCTGAGGAAAAATTCAATTGAAGGAACCTCAGGCAAGCACGGTAACTCATCAGATTAACCTCTTAGACTGCGTCCACACAAATAGGGGCACGTGTTTGCAGCAGCACAAACAGTGATGACGCAAATTTGTGCTGCTGCTTTGTGCTGCAGTGCACGCCCCTGCATGTGCTGTTTCATAGATTTCATAGACATTAGGGCTGGAAGGGACCTCGGAAGATCATCGAGTCCAGCCCCCTGCCCAAAGGGCAGGAAGTCAGCTGGGGTCATAGGATCCCAGCAAGATAAGCATCCAGTTTCATCCTGAAGGTGTTCAATGAAGGCGCTTGAACCACCTCCGGTGGCAGGCTGTTCCACACCTTGGGGGCTCGGACAGTAAAGAAATTCTTCCTTATGTCCAGCCTTCTTGTAGTAGTTTATGACCATTCGACCTAGTCGTCATCCCTTGGGGCGCTCTGGTGAACAAAC